TCCCAAGCTGAGACCAAGTGTAATATTTAGCCCAAATTATGCTAGCCAAGAAATTCGGCCTTTGATAATTAGTTATGGTTTTTCTTTATATTCAGATTGAATAGGTTTTAAAGCTGTAGTCACCATAGATCACATGAAGTGATAAAGGAGTAATGGTTATATTTTTCCACAATTATGTGAGTCGGGCACACGTTTCCATTTTCTCCCAAAAAGTATTCTCATCCATGGTAGACTGCAGTTTTGAACTCGCCTCACCAGCTTCGGGGAGAATCTAACCCAGATCATGGAGCGTATAGTTGCGATATGTCACCATGTAAATAGGAACTTAAAGTCCATTTATATCAATGAGAAAAAATCATCACCTTAAGAATCCTAGGGTGAATACCTCTCGATTTCATAAATTTATTTATTCCTATTGGTTATTCATGAATATTTTGATTTTTGAATTGATTTTCTCTGTTTCGTTAGGCATTTAGGTTAGCCTCTCTAATCTTTTTATTATAAATTTTGGTGTATTTTTTAAGTATTATTATTTATATTTTCAGTAAATTTGATAGCAAATAGTTCTCAATTAGCTCACTATATATATTTTGTATGAAAAAAGATTAATATTTTATGTTGATCAATCGCTTTATTCCTTATTCTGATTGTTTCATCAGTTGCTTTACCAATCCAAAGCAAACCAAATTAGTTTTGGTGTAGCAGTTCTGTCGTGCGATAACATCAGTGATTCATTTTTTTGATAGCATGTCTTCATTTTACTCAACAGGCTAAAGTTATTAAGAAGTTTTTGACTGTTGTGTAGTGATTATTAGCGAACCTTGTTTGTTTAGGGATCGCTAATTATCGGAATTCTTTTCGCTTTCACACCTTTAGGGGCTAGTTCATACTTGCCTATTCATATTAGTTGGGGTATTAACTTGGTTAGTCAAAGAGCACTTGGGTAATTATGCATATTTCTTTGTGTGGAGAGTCTTGCTAAAAATGATCTGGTCGCTGAGGCGTTGCTGTGACTATACTAGGGGAAATAATCTTTTTAGGAATATAATTATCTTGCAGCCTCTGACAACCTTGACGACTCTACACGGATTTTGCCTCGCCCATGCAATGGCATCATCTAAGCAAGAGGCAATGATTAAGTATAGGAAATCTTAGTATAAATTCGGCCGTATTCACAACAAATAATGAAAGCTTTGCGGTTGTTTTCAACAGTTTTTCATTCCCAAAACATGTGATATAACTGTACCGACCAGCATTTCTAAAGGGCCAATTAAGGGTCATGTACAAATGTGTTAAATTTTAGACCCTGAGAACTGCATTAATATCTAATCTAAAGCAACTTACGAGTTTGAATTACGTCCACTTGGGTCGCCGTCTCCGCCACACCAACTGTATTTTCAGCCACGCACGTGTACATTCCAGCGTCATCAGGGAAGATTTCGTTGATGATTAACTGGCCGGTCATGCGAACTGGAGTCTCTTGAGTCTCAGTGACATCTTCGAGAGGGGGGCCCATTTGCGTAATCCTACACTCTTGCACCCCATCCAATGGCTGACCGTCCCGATACCAACGCAGAAAAGGCAAAGGGTTGCCCCAGGCCTCGACAACCATCGTCAGGGGGGCTCCCTCATAAACATTCTGACTTGGAATTAGCGTCTATAATAAACAGTGAATTTGCAAATAGGACATATCGCATAAATGCATATTATGACTTCGTTAAATGATAAAATGTAGGGCAAAGAATAGTTTTTTACAAATAGTACGCATGGAATTACGGGCTAACTCTAATAATAGCAAATTGCTTTTGCAAGTCTTATGGTAACAGTGGGTTTGACTTGGTGAAGAGACCAGCTAAATACAAGCAATATGTCCGAGCATCAAAATGTTGTCGTCTTATATGCGCTCAATCGTCTCAAGTCTCGTTGGTATCCGGGCCTTTTCAGGGCTCTGTAAGATCCTCAACAAATAACCTTAGGTTGCTAGAAAGGAGCGAAAGGCAATAAAGTAATTG